TCATCATGATAATGGTCATGATGATCACTGATGATATTCATAATGTTTGACTGCAATTTACTATTTACACTTCATTAGGCGGCGACAACTTTAAGTGAAATGTGTCCACATTGTTGAGTGTTTCGCATGCATCTATATGCAACTAAATCTATCTCTATCTGTTTCTGTATCTGTATGTTATATATTCATATGTGTAGAGAAGATCTTTCTTTCTGAAATTGAGAAAAGGTGACCGCCTAATTGAAAAATCAGCTCAAGTGTTGGGCTCGTATCGTAGCGTTGGAAACAACTAGAAAACTATCAACTAACTCGGCACTTAACACTTGACTCGGAATAAAGTTGAGCGCTTAGCTCCTCTCTATCCGAATTAGATAATGGTGGCTAAAGCGCTCAGGAAACAAATTTTTCAGAGTCAAGGTAATTGATTCGGAGCGGTGCTAGAGCAAACTAAAAGTGCTGATAGAATTGTTTTAGGCGTGCTTCATAGTTTTGGGTGTTAAATCACTTTTTCGGAATAGTCTTTTTCGGAGTAGACTCAACTGTGTCTTGATTCCGTTGTTTTTCAACACATACTAATTTTTGGACGAAATATTCAGTTTTCGGAGTGTTCTTTTTCTTGGAAAGCTAATTTTTTAGAATACCTAGTTTTCGGGGTATTCATTTTACGGAATACCTATTTTATGTATTATTCGTGTTTTTTCAATATTTCATATTTTGGAATATTTATTTTTCGGAAAAATCTTTTTTCGGAGTTTTCATTTTTCGAATGGAACGTTTTTCGGAGTGTTCATTTTTCGGACTACTTATTAATTGAAGCATTAATTTTACGGAATAGCCATTTTCAGAGTGTTCATTTTTCGGAGTATATTTTTTCGGAGTAGATTTTTCTGTTTTTTTTTTGTGCTATGTCAAATAGAAGCTTACTCAATTTTTTCATTATATTACCATTTACCATATTGGGTACAAATTATTTAATACAGAACTGATAATTTGCATAAATATGGTCTAATTTTCATTAGATTGAAGGCCAATATAAACTTTAAAGAAATGACAGGTGCTTTATCTTAATTCATATTATCATAATTTATTCATTCAGTAAAAAAGCAATACCGACATTTATCTAAAGTTTCGGAATCAGTTCAAGAGCCCAAGAGCAATTGCATTATTGTTTTCACTTTTATGTGACATAAGGCGACTCTATTATCTCTATGATTAAATTAACGAGTGTCCGAAGCGGATATAAAAACTAAAAGAGAAGAAAAATAAACAAATATATAAATAGAAACAACCCACTTGGGAGCAAACGATGTTGATATCGTGCTAGCATACATATATTTCATAAGCACGGAAATACTATCTAGATAGCCTTTAAATTTTTAATTATAATTATAAGCAATCCAGTATAAAAACCGAACTAAGAAAACAAGACCTTCACGTAAGTGCAGGATCGAGGGGGCGGGGCACGGAATATATTAAATATTATTAAATCGGGGCAATGCACAAATCAATTGAGTTCGCGTCTAGCCGATAACCTCCATAGAATAATATCAGCGCAGAGTTAAATATATATGTATATAGGCATATAGGCATATAGTTTATATGTGTTGTGTAAATATATTAAGCTTTGGGTGGGTCAGTCAAATGCCTCAACTACTTGGCACGGGTTTTATTTTTTTGTTTTTTGTTTTACTTCACTTTAGTTAACTTTACTTTACTCTAGTTTTTTTCTTTGTTTTTTATTTTTATTTTCATATAATGCCTGATTTCAATGTTGAAAAATCATATTAAGTGCGAGTAGCCGAGTGCGTTTCAGCTGAAAATTGTTTTCGTCATGTCAGCGTAGCGCTTAAAAAGGTGACACTACAGAACCATACCGGAGAGGGGCCTGTTCCGTCAACATCTGGCTGGCTAGCTCGCCTAGGCTAGCTATAAATATTCAACAATTAAATGCTGGGCTTATGTCTAGGGGCTTGAGCCCGGGCCACTTCAGATCGACAGCGACAACGACTAGGTTTTATTTTTCACTCAGTTTTTTTTTGTTGTTTTCCTTATTTTTTGTTTTAAGTCGTATGTGCTTGCTATTGCGCATATTTAACCCTTTGGGGTTAAGTTAAGCATTACGCTTACGATTTCGTATTTCGTTTTTATTTTGCGCGCCATTTTGAGATTTATTTTCAATGTTTTAATTTAAGTTTTTCTGTTTTTGTTTTTTAGTTCTGTCCCGACAGCAACATTTTAAGCCGTCTTGTAAAACTTCATGTTAGCAATTTAGCTTATTTACTATATAAATATGTATACATATATATATTTTTTGCTTGCAATTATTGGATCGTAAAACAGTTGCTTATATCACGACTAATCAATTTTTTAATCTGCTCGCCCAACAACAAGTTCTTGCTAATCAATAAACAAATTATAAACATTTACAATGATTGCTCGTCTGGCTTATCAAGCGCCCATTCGCAAGCTGGTTTATCAAGGCTATCTCGCTTCTATTTATAATTCACGCGCCCACCTCCCCTTCTAGCATACTCCTATATTGTTCCATGTGCTGCAATCCGCATATATAAAACGCAATTTGAGCGCATTTATGTGTACATGTTTTGCTTTTTTTTTTTGGCCGGGCACGTGCCACGTGGCAGGCAGGTGAAATTGCTACCCTGAACTTAAGAGTTTATGGCATCTAAAATTTCGGAGTAGTATAAACGGATTTCTAATTGTTTCAGCAGCAAAAACAAACATTGCTAAGTAGCTCATTAACATAATTCACTTGGATGTACAACAAACATTTTTTCGGAGTGTGGAGTCGGAAATATTCTTGCCTTTTAATTTGCGTAGGTAAATTCGGAGTATGTTCGGAGTTTTTTATTTTAATTTGCATTTTATAATACATTTTGCAATCAATTCGGAGTAATTTCAGAATTTTTCTGAATTTAATATAATAATTACGGAGTATTTTTGGACTGTGTTTTAATGTGATCATATTAATATATATATATATATATATATATATATATATATATATATATATATATATATATATATATATTTTTTTTTTTTTTTAAATTGCTGTTTTTATTTGCAATCTGTCTTATACTAGACAATAAACAAATGTTTTAACAATAATATTACATAACCGGATGGCCTGGGCTCCAATGAGATTAATCCATATCTTTACCTACTTTATATATTTATCTATTTCTGTAGGGCAGGTCTAGGACATGAAATCTTTTAAGTCGCCTTTGGTTGCTTGAGTCATCCAGTAGTCTTAGTGCTAGAGCATTAACGTGGTTATGCAGTTTATTCATGTATATTTTAGCATATAGTTGTATTTCTTCCTTAACACTAATTGATCGATATAAATTTATGAGCAATTCATTTTCGATGTTTTTTGGAGTAACCAATTAAATGTTCTAGCCCCTCAAGTATTTAAGTCATTGTATAGATTAACAAAAATACCTTAACGAAGCATATATATATGATTTAGGATTAAGCTTCAATATAATTTTTATATTTATGATATTGATAACTTGATTAGCTATCACACCGAATCGAATCTATCGATCGATTTTGTTATATGAGTGCTCAAGACTTGACGGCTAATAGCCCTTAGATGACACTCACCTGGCTCATTGAGCTCCTGCTCCATTTGCTCCACTTTATTAATCTCCATTAGCTGCTGTCCATCGGTAATTGTCAGATCTTGGGGGTGCTTCATAATAAACGAGTGTACGTTCTTATCAAATATAATTCACAATCATGTGCGAGTCATGCTTAGCAACTGTAAACGAACGATAACGATAAGTGCTTAGTTTATATATATATATATGGAAACTGTAATACAACTAGTCTATCAATATTTGAAACACGTAAATGTGTCTTATATAGCTTTAATGGGTTTTCGATCGGAGCGAGCGAACGATAAGCCGCCATAATATCCTCAATAAAATACTAAGTATAATACAGCTATGTTCTGGTTACATGACAGGCGAGGCAGGGAGCCAATTTTTATGATCCAGCTAACATATATATATATATGCCTGGTGATATATTGGCTTTATCTGCATTTTTAGTTGTCCATTTTTATGAGCAATTCATAAACCAAAGCAACTCTATGACACACCCCACGCGCAGAGCTTTTTGTGACTCGTAGCGCCAAAATAAATATCATATTGAAATAATCTATTCCGAAAGCCCGTTGAAATAAACAGTCGAAAAAAATTTCTTCATTTCTCTATCGGAAAAAAAAAGTGGAGAACAACAAATTTCAGGTTCAGTGATAAGAAGTTAGTGATTATTATCAAACGTTTATTATTTTTTAGCCATAAATGTTTGATAAGCCAATGGCAACTATATACGTGGTCCTCACTATCAAATCGGGACGGCTTTACCCCTTTACTTAATCTCCACGGCAACAGCTTTTTATATATTTCAGATCGTGCCTGAAACGTGACTCTTATTTTCAGGTAGTGGAATAGGGTTTTTGCATATAGTATTGGTAGAATAGCTTCCTGTTAAATATGACATTTAGTGGGCATACGAATGTTATAATAGGCTAGTTTAAGTATAAGAATAATACTATCCTATATCTATCCTTTGTATGAATATCATGTGTGTCGAATAGAAATATGGATATAGATATAGAATATGTTTTGATATACTCGTATATATGAAAACTGAGATAGCTGGGAATATGGATAGAAAGCGATATACTAGGAATCGTCAATGATATGGTCTACCTATTAAATACAATATTGAGCTTAATGAAATATAATGCGACTATATTATATATAATATATTATATATAAAGCAACGTTTCTACTGTTAACAACTGTTATACCGTGACAAGCGCATTTGATTCCACTCTAATATCAAAATAGTTATACCTATTTTGAGAAATGAGGATATAGAACCCACATTTTTATTTTCTTACTTTATGCTCAACAATTTATTCAATCAAATATTACAATAACCAATTGAAACAAATATAACAATCAAAAATATTACAATAATCACTAGAACTTAGAGATCTTGGCTGTGTTTAGAGCCTCTGTCATGAGTCGTCCGAAGTCGGCATGGATCATGGTAAAGAGCTTAACGGCGCGTTCCTGGAGGAATTGGCTGGCATCCGATAGATGCTCCGAAACATTGCGCACCAGACGCTTACGTCCGCAATTGTCCAAAGTGTAGGTCCAGAAATCGGTGACTTGACTGAAATTATCCTCCGTATCGCCGCTCATATAGCGATAGACATCACCCGAAACGGGACAGCAGGTCTGCAGAGCAAGCGCTCGAGCGCTCTCCTTGGGACCACAAAAGGAGTTGGGAAAGTAATTGGGTGCACCATCCTGATTATCGTTGACAGTCATCGCGCCATCACGTTGGAAGTTCTTGATATTCACACGATAAGGACAGTTGACAGGGATCTGCATATAGTTAACACCCAGACGATATCTCTGAGTATCGCCGTAGGCGAACAGACGGCCCTGAAGCATTTTATCTGGCGACGGCTCAATGCCAGGGACCATATGAGCCGGACTGAATGCCAACTGTTCGACTTCTGTAAAGTAATTGGTGGGATTACGATCTAGTACCAATTTGCCGACTGGTAACAGAGGATACTCCTTTTGCGGCCACACCTTGGTCACATCGAAAGGATTGAATTTACACTTTCTGGCCTCCTCGTTGAGCATTATCTGAATAAACAAACTCCAACTGGGATAGTTGCCCTTCTTGATGGCATTATACAGATCACGTATTGAATAGTCTGGATCGTGAGCGGCCAACTCTGCGCAGCGACGTGCATCCAAATTCTTAATACCCTGATCTGTTTTCATGTGGAACTTAACATAGAAAGTTTCACCACTTGGATTTACCATGCGGTAGGTATGGCCGCCATAGCCATGCATATGCCGATAGCCATCGGGAGTGCCCCGATCACTGAAATACATGAGCAGAGCATGCATTGTCTCCGCTCGCAGCGACATAAAGTCCCAGAACATGTCCGGATCCCGGAGATGCGTCTGTGGATTACGTTTCTGGGCATGCACAAGACTGGGGAAGAGCGCCGGATCCCGCACATAGTACACGGGCATATTGCAGCCCACCAAATCCCAGATGCCATCCTCCGTATAGAACTTGATCGCAAATCCTCGCTGCTCACGCACCGTATCCGCCGATCCACTCTCACCGCAGGCCACTGAGAACCTCATGGCAATCGCTGTCCGTTTCTTGACACGATCAAAAATCGATGCAGCACAGAATTTGGTTATATCATGGGTGCATTCGAAGTACCCAAAGGCTCCGGCGCCCTTGGCATAGGCCACGCGCTCTGGTATACGTTCCGAGTCGAAATGCGCCAACTCGTCAAGGAAAATGTAATCCTGCAGCAGAGCAGGGCCTCGCGGCCCAATCGTCTGTATTGCATCCTTGACCCCAATAGGTATGCCACCCGAAGTGGTGCATTCCTTGGGTGGTTCTGAATCTTTGTTCTTGTAATCGATTAACTGATTGGAAGCCGGATCACGTGAACACATTTTGAATTTCGCTTAAACTGTATGGATATGTGCAATATACAGAGACTGAAGAATATTTCAACTTCAAAAAATTTGGAAATCTGAAGCGATTATTATATATAAACTGAACGAGTCAACAATACGTATAAATGAGTGTTGATGTTAAGTTCAAAGCATTTTCATTTTGAAAGAAAAAACTCATTTCGGAACACATTTCTTTTCATTATAACTATACTATCTAATCTGTTCATATATATTCAATTTATTCTCTAGTTAAGATATTTCAGCTGTTCATGAATCATGAAATCTATTTTAAACTCATGATTTGATTTAGTTCAATTGCGTAGTCAATTCTAAGAACTAGTTCCGTTAGCTTAGCAGTTCTTGATTGATGCTTGTTTTGTGGTTCGTAAGCAATTCGCATTAGTACTTAAATAGCTCAATAGAATCTTTCGTTCATGAACAGGTCAGTTATTCATTCATCAGTCTGGAACGTAACAAACAGACGTCATCATCATCATCGTTCCTAATCGATTCAAATATATCGTTCACTGATCACCCGCAAATAGTTCAGTAGTTCAATTTAATGAACCGTTCAATCGAACTATTCTCATTTGGTTATGTACCTAGCTCTCTATCTATCTATTAACGATAAGAGATCAAACAGCAATTGGCTCTCTACTCTAACCTTATGACTAGCTCATCAAGTATGGCAATTTGTCTCTGGCAATTATCTATCAGCTAGATTTTCGACGCATGCAAAGCTCTGTTTGCACGCGACACACGTGTCCATGGTTGAATGGCAGTCAATATACTAAGTAAGACTAAAAGCTTGAATAGCTGAAATGTTAAGCAAATAGGCAAAACACACACATGCAGAAGAGCGAATGAAGGTGTGTATGTGTGAGTGTGTGTCTTTAATTGCACACACATACACATCTATATGCACTCACACACGCACGCACACGGTTGCATATGGAAACTTACTTGAAAGCTCGCCGTTGGAAGTAGCTGTCGTTGTTGGTGTTGTTGTTATTACTGGTATGCAGTTACTTTTGTTTTTGCTGTTGCTTTGGGTTTTTATCAGACGCTGCCGCTGCTGTTATGGCTGTTGACTCTAGTTGACCGCATGAATGAAAGCGAAGCAGAGCAGACGACCGAACGAACGGAGACGCGCGTCACACACTTGTTGATTTCCTTCCTATTTGTGCTTTTTGCATGGTTCGTCTTTATAATTGAAAGCTGATGTTTTTAATTTTTTCTTCTTTTTTGGCACTCAAATCGTATTTTACACGCTTGCACACCTCTTCGTGTGCTTCTTATTGCTATTTCTTTGTTTTGCTTTGGCTCTTTTCTTATTATTATTTTTTATTACTGTTGCACTTAAGCGGCTTTTGCCTGTCCTACTGTTATTATTATTGTTATTGTTGCTCTTGATGTTATATAGACGAGTGTGTGTTCGTGCTTGTGTTTGTTGTTTGTGTGTATTTCTTGCTGCGCGCCAATTAAAGACGTAACGGCGAACACTTGGACATTAAAATGATTTTATTTTATTTTCAGCTGCGACTCTGTTGCTGCATATTCATTTATATCAATCAAAAACGATATATATATATTTCTTGTTATTGTTTTTGTTTTTGGTCGTTCTCAGTGCGAAGTCGTCACTTGAACTCAACTACGGCTTCTGTCTGCAACGGTCGCCAGCGACGGCAGCAACAAGTCCCTTCGCACACACACAGAGAGAGGGAGAGAGAGAGCTTGAGCATGAGAGCGGTATGCACTTATCACTTCATTGCTCGCTCTGCCTCTCTTTTTCTTTGGCACGCTCGCGTCTACACTTACACAGCTGCTTTGGTTACACACACATGAGCACACAGACGCCGCTGTTGCTGTTACGTATTTGTTTTTGCAAAAATCAAACAATATTTTTTGTGTTATTCACTTGCTGTTTAAAAACACGTCAGAATTGCATAAAACGCGCGTGCCTGATTGTTTTTTTTTTTTGTTAATCAAAATTTTACACACTTTGCATTATTTTTGGAGCGGGGGCCTGTGCCGCTGGCAGCGGGTTGACTGAACCCACACGCTCACACTAATACACACAGTCCAACTAGACGAGGGCACAGTACGTACCACAGACGAATACGAGCAATAGGCGACTGAAAATCAAAGTGGCAAAATCCAACGGCACAGCGAATTGGTCGGTGAGTGAGGGAATGTGAAGAACGTAGCAATTGGCAGGCAAGCGAAACCAGATTCAAAGGGTTTATCGAACAATACAACCAAAAATGCCAACTTTTGTATGTTTACCAAAAAGAAGCTACGCCAAAAAAAAAAATAGCAACAAATCACAAATTTTAACAATATTTGCGGAGAGCGTAAGAATGTGGCATTCTCGTGCGCGCTCTCTCCCTCTCTCACTCTCCACACACTACTCGCGTGCATGTGTATGTGTGTGTCACTTGTCACGTCGCATAGTGCGCCGCACTGTGGGCGGCTGATCGAAAAGCGTGCTGCCAGCTGTTCCAAAAAGCTAATACTATAAATATCGATATGATTGTAATCGATATCTGTGTAGCTACCACAACTGTGATAAATGTTAATCAGCTGTTATTTAACAGAGCGATCGCTGCCTAGCTGTTTGAATGAATTAAATCTTTTTAATTTAAATTTTATGTTTTTATATAAAATTTTTGTGTTATGTTAGAAAAACTTGTTTATTGAGATATTTTTGCCTGCTAACTGGGTACAGTGGGCCACTAAATTAATATGTTTTTTGTTTTTTAAGTATATGTAAATATGGTTTAATGCTCACTAAATATTTAAATATATTTGAATTATTTACTTAAATTTATGAATATTTTAAATATATATATATATATATGTATGTGTGTGTATGCATGTATGTGTTTAATATTTACAGTTGTTCAGTTAATGCACATGCATACATGTACAGTTAAGGTATTTTAAATAAATAATAAATTAGTATAAAGCAAAATGCTTTCTTCCATTTTGTTTTTGTTTTTGTTTTGAAATGCGCTCTCTGGGCGACGACATATTTCATTTACAGTTTTACAGGAATATTACGTATACGTATCTATAATATATATGTATGTAAGCATAGTGGGGAAACAGTTATACGTAGCAAAGTTTAGTACAGATTTTTTTTTTGTTTTTTTTTCATATCAATTACAATTAAGACACATTTGTTAAGAAAGTTTTTGTTTTTGTTTTTCTTTTATAGTAAGGCCATAAAATATGAAAAAGGAAATTAAATTAAATAGACAGTTACATAAATTGCACTAAGTATTAAAAATTTAGCTTAGATTTGTCACGTGCTGCAGAACTGAAACACAGGTACGATTGATTTTTCCATTTCTTTATGTTCTTCTTTTTAGCTGCGCTCTCTGTTATTATACGCGCGCACCTTGGCCACGGTGCACTCAAGCGCCGCTTGGATGTCATTGAACACGGGCACACCCTGCCGCTTGGCCAGATCAATTAGATACGAGCGACCGCGATTGTAGTCCTTGATGGCGGCCACAGTTAACTATAAAGAACCCAATTGGAATCACAATTAGAAATTTTATGGCAAAGAAAGTTTCACAATTAATGAAAAATCCAATTTGAATTAAATTAGAAATTTTAGTTAGACTCTAAAAATATGTGAGAAATTATTGATATATATGCAAATATTTAATATTGTGAGAATTTAAAAATAAACAATTTTATACCATTTTTTCTCAGAACTCATATACTAGCTTCTAACTAACCCAATTAGATTTTCCCATAAGCCCAATCTAACTTTCCCATCTCGCTCACCTTTTCACCGCCCAACACACAGTCCTCGGGCAACATTTGCACGGCGAGCACCACGTTGTACATGAGTCCAATGCAGTGGGCAGCCAGAGTCATGGGCGCCAGCGATCGCGTCTCGTTGGTGATGACAAAGAGCAGCACACGACTGGAGTCCAAGAGAGCGGGATTGTAGAGACTCTGGCGCATTGCCATGGGCGGCAGCGACCAGCTCAGTGATTCCTCGGCCACGGTTAGCTCCTCCTGTTCCTCCAGCTGCAGCTGGTTGCCACGACACTTTCGTCGCGTGCGCACAAAGGAGTGCTGCTGCTGCTGTTGCTGATCCTGGGCGGCAGCCACTTGCGGCGTTGTCGACGTCGTTTGCTCTGGCTGCTGCGTGGCCAGTTGCTGAATGCTCTCGTGCAGCGCGGGCGTATGGAAGCTAACGTTCTTGGACTGCAGATAGGGAGCGGCCAGCTGCTGGCGCCACTTGGTGCGCAGCACACAGCTGCCGCCCAAATAGACATCGCGCAGATCCAGGCCAGAGCAGCAGAGGGCATCGCCAGCGCTGGCTATCGAGCTGCTGCTGGAGAAGACCGAGTCATTGGAATCGCTTTCCTCTTCCTCCGGGGCGGGCTGATGGCTGCTGCTGCTGCAGCTGCTGTTGGCGTTGTTGCTGTTGTTGTTGGTGTTGCTGACAGCCATAAACGGTTTGGTTTCTATCGTTTTGGTTGTGATTATTTCAGTTGTCTCTATCGATTCCACATTCAGCATTATGTGTGGCTGCAATTTTTTACCTATGGACGCGCCGCCCAGCGGCTGCGGCGACGAGGTGCCGCTATCCCGACTGCGGCTCAGCTGCTCGAACAGGCTCTGCCGCTCCAGATCGTGGCCAATGCCGCTGCTGCTATTCGACGGGACGCTGGCATTGCTTGACGTGCGCGATATATTCTTGCTGGCAGCATAATAGATGTCCACATCAGGAGCTGCAGTTGGCAAACAAAAAACGAAAGAAACGTTAGTTCAGCTGTCTCGATAGAGTGATTCAGCTATTCAGCTATTCAGCTCACCGTTGGTAAAGTAGACCTGCGGCGGCGGCACATTCGTGCCCTTGATGGGCGAAATGCAGCCGCTCTCGTGTATCTCCTGCTGCAGCACTGAGAGGTAAGCGGAGATCACACAGAACAGATCGAAATCGATCAGCTCCTGGCAGCTTCTCTGAGGCGGCTCCTCTTCCAGTTGCTGCTCGCCCGCCTTTGTACTTTGCGTTTGTAATAGTTTCAGTGATTCGCGTTGATTGATTATTATCTTATTCAGATTATCTAAATTAACTAAACTCTGAGCATAGCCTAAAAATAAGAGAGCACGTTTACACTGTTCCACAGTGAGTAGTTCGCTTTGGGGATTGACGCGATCGAAGGCGCCGCGTACGGTACTGCAAAGATAGAAGAGATGTAGTTTTATTAGATATGAGATTTATTATGATAATATTCATATATTTTATTTTTATATAAGGAATCGCATTAAGAATGCCTATTAAAGTAACTTCCTCTAATTTCAAGAGAGAGTTCAGTTTAACGAAGCTCAGTTTACGGAACAACGAACGGATTCTATTTGTCATTAGTCATTAGTCATTAGTCATTAGTCATTAGTCATTAGTCATTAGTCATAAGTCATTAGTCATTAGTCATTAGTCATTAGTCATTAGTCATTAGTCATTAGTCATTAGTCATTAGTCATTAGTCATTAGTCATTAGTCATTAGTCATTAGTCATTAGTCATTAGTCATTAGTCATTAGTCATTAGTCATTAGTCATTAGTCATTAGTCATTAGTCATTAGTCATTAGTCATTAGTCATTAGTCATTAGTCATTAGTCATTAGTCATTAGTCATTAGTCATTAGTCATTAGTCATTAGTCATTAGTCATTAGTCATTAGTCATTAGTCATTAGTCATTAGTCATTAGTCATTAGTCATTAGTCATTAGTCATCTCTGTATCTCTGTATCTCTTATCTCTTATCTCCCACCTCTCATCTCACATCTCCCATCTCCCTTCTCCCATCTCTCATCTCTCATCTCTTATCTCTCTCTCAATACTCACTCTAATATAGAAGATATTTTGGACGGTGGATCTCTGATGCCAGATAAGATATCCTTGGTGCGCTGCAGGCCAGACGGTATGTTATCCAACACTGGCAGACCGCGACGGGAGACCAGCTCCTTAAGTATCATTTGATTGCGACTTAAATCGAGGTATTCTCTATAAAAAGAAATCGAAATAAGTAAATAGAATTCAAGGATAGTTTGACTCGAGTTAACATACTGATGCGAAATAGGCTCATGCAGGATATTCTGATTTGGTTTATAGGGATGCAAAACCAACACCAGCTGCTTGCAGTTTTGACCCGCTATGTGTGCCGCCTCGATGGCACCAGCAGATGCGCGTGTTTCCGAATCCATAACAAAGAATAATACGCGTGCCTTTTCCTTGGCTCGATGCTCCAATTCAATGAGATCGGGCGTCCAATCGGATACTTGCTGCAGCGTTGGATAATCGAATTGTTAATATAGAAATTTCTACAGATATCTCAATTTTGTTATACGTACAGGATTATAGAATGAAATGCCCAGCTCTTTTAGTGCGGGTATAGCTACATCGGCTCGCCATGTGGTTGGGTTGCAGGAGCCGCCGAGGAAGACTTCGACTGGCTCATTGCTGGCGTTCTTCTTCTTCTTGGTGTCGTCGACGCTGCTAAATGATTTTGTACTGCGCAGCTCCGTGGCATAATTCTCAGATTTCTTGTTGTAATGCTTAGAGGCAGGTGTTGTAGTTGTTGTTGTTGTTGTCGCTGCATTGGCTGCGGCTTGCCCAGACGTTTGCGTTTTATTGGAGCTATTCGCTGCTTGGGCAGCATCGTCCTGCTGCTGCAGTAGAGAGCTGGAGAGTTGTTGGTATCTAACATCAGTGAAGTTCGATGCGTTCGATAAGTTTGAGGCGCTAAATGATGTCAAACAAATTTTACTCTTATTTTCAGTTCACACAAATCGATTCGATGGAGGAACTCACCGAAAACGTTTCAGATCCGCGGCCAGCACACAAAATTGTCCGAATGTCAAGCCGTTCGTCTGCCCCCGACCCTTGCGGGCCACCTTCTTGGCCGTTTGCAGCATTTCGCTGACTGTTCAAGGAAAATTCCCATTAGTTTTCATCATTTTCATAATTTTCATAATTTTCATAATTTTTCATAATTTTTACTTACTTTGCTTTTGGCTCGGATGAAAGCTTAGCTCGTGGAAGAGCTCCTGTGTCCGCTCATCGGGCACCACATTGCAGCGCGCCTTCGCTCTCCAGGCATTCAGAATTTCTCTGTAAATATTATGAATAATGAAAAAACAGTTATTAAATAAGTCATCTACATGTTTGTTAAAGCAATTAACAATCGTCTGTTGTTTATTTAGCCTAAATGCAACTTTTCATCATATATTTAATTAGTCATTTATTTATTATTTTTTATTGACCAATCGCCTTTCTTTGCGATTTTCAAATATAGTATAGTACTGTTGTTGGGCTGATATAATGGTAAGGCTTTGTTTGTAGCTCTCCTATCTCATTTCTCATCTGTCACGTTATATCATCTTTCATCTGTCATCTGTCATTTCCTATTTCATTTCTCATTTATCATGACTCGTCACCTATCGTCTCTTATCTCTCCCTTCGTATCTCTTGTGTGTTATTTCTTATCCTTATATCTCATCTGTCATCTCTTTTCACTTATTTTTAATTTCTCTTCTCTTTATTCTCCTTTCTTCCTTTTTCTCTCATTTATCGTCTATCTATTATCTATTATCTATTATCTATTATCTATTATCTATTATATATTATATATTATATATTATCTATTATCTATTATCTATTATCTATTATCTATTATCTATTATCTATTATCTATTATCTATTATCTATTATCTATTATCTATTATCTATTATCTATTATCTATTATCTATTATCTATTATCTATTATCTATTATCTATTATCTATTATCTATTATCTATTATCTATTATCTATTATCTATCATCTATCATCTATCATCTATCATCTATTATCTATTATCTATTATCTATTATCTATCCTCTAGCATCTAGCATCTAGCATCTCTCTTCACCCTTGTCTTATATCATCTCTCATTTCTTCTTATTATCATCCTCATTTGAACCTCTCTCTGCAATTCTCATAACTTAAAATTAGGCTTTCAGACTATAATTTGTATAGCTGTCTAATAATATTGACTTTTTAAACATTTTAACACTTCTTCTATTTCTAATAAAATTTGTTAATAAATATTCCCAATTAATTACTCAATAAAACTTTAAATTAATCAAGCAGGAACGCCATAAGCAAACAAAGCCAACTACCTGTCTTAACAAATGCTTTACGACACTTTCCTTTTTTATAAATGGCAATGAACTAAGCGAAGGACACGCAATAGTATGACAAACTGCAACAACAACAACAACAACTTTTGTAAACAAAATTAAGAAAAGCAAAAAAATTATTTTTTATAGGAAAAAATAACAACAAAAAATGGTTAGCTTTAAATGTTTCTCAATTGGAATCGGATGCGAGGCACGTTCCATGTTTTGAGAACACCAAAACGAGTCATGTTCAGCATTTAAGTGCCAAAAACGAGAACTTTGCCATAAATTAGCGAGACAACAAAAAAAAAATGACGTGAGAAAATTGTGCTTTACGCTATTTGTGTTGTGGCAGCTGCTGTGGCAGCCTCCGGCAGCATGGCAATTGCAGCGTCTGCTTCCGTATTTCCTTTTGCCACCAATTGGCAGCTAGTCAGCGGCGACAACAACGACAACAACAACAGCGGCAATCGCGATGCATACAATGGCAATTGCATCATTTGTGCAGCGAGCTGAGTTCAAGAAATAATTTGTTTATTGCAAATATTGCGCATACGACGCGTGTGCCACAACAAGAGAACAAAAAAGAGAAAAAGCAGAAAATTATCATATATGCCATGTGCATAAATATATATATATATATATATATATATATATATATACATATATATATGTATATATGTCTATAGAGCTGATATTGTTTGCGCTTATAGGCAACTCAAACTGGGCAAATGATATTTCGCGACGCAGTTACTTGATTTCCATTTCATTTTGAAATATTTTTTACACACACACACATACACAGTGTGTACAATATATTTTGTTTAATAATACATTTTGTTTTCGTTAAATGGAAAACGCAAAAATGATATCATGCACAATTTAAGTTGTAAAAACAAATTTCGTAAACAACAACAAAAATATAAAAAAAAAAAATGAATTTGTTAATTTTTTCTTTGTTGCTAAAATTGTAATTTTCGAAATACATTTAAGAAACCCTATTGACACATTAGCACAATTAAATTACATTTTGTAACTAAATTTAAATGTAATTTTATTTTAATTAATTTAATTAATTTAATATCAAAAATATTTTAAAGCACACTTGAAATATTTTAAAATACTTTTTTATTTAGGTCTTTTTGAGCTGAGCTACGTTAGGCAACTAAATCTAATTTGGAATTTAATAATACTCAATTTGTTTGTGTTTTAGTCCCACTTTGGGCATTTTAACACTCTTATCAGCTGTCAATTGAGAGCAGCTCGGGAAGCTGACGTCAAGTTTTGTGTATTTGTTTTATATTTTTTTCAATGTCGACCATGGCAAATTTATACACAAACAAATTAATAGCTAATTAAGCAGCTACATACGTATGGGAGCTTTTATAGAAAATTTATAGGCGCCAGCTGATAAACAGTATAGGCAAATAAATTTCAAATGCAAGTACATTTGTCAGGAAGTTTTTTCCAGCTGTTGAGGCTTGGGCTGAGGTCTAGAGTCGAAATAATATTAAAGAAACCTATTTAAAAATATTTTTTTAATTTACTTGAAATACAATAAAAAATAAAAAAAAATTATAATATATATTGATATAAAAAATTACTAATTATATTATTTTATTTTTCAATTTAGTTAATATATAAAATAAAATAATACTCAAAAATATTAAAATTTGCAAAAAATTCTTTTGTTTTTGACCTATTTTTTATCAATTTTATTTTACATTTATTTATTTACTTTTATTGATTTTGAGTCTGATAATGTATTATAAAATTGTTTGCCAATTTTATGGCTACTTCAATCCATAATCTAGCTAATTTAGTGTACCCATAAAAAAAAGTATATAGATAATAATCACAATTGGGTGCAACGTTTCGATGAGGAAATTTAAAAATAAGAGATTCGCTCATTCATATAGAAATATTTATACCTTAGGCTTAAATGATTTCATTTTATTTAATGAGTTCATGTTTTTAATTGCTTGTTGATAATATTCTTTGTTATATATAATAAATAAATCTACTCAATACAGAATTTATTTTTAATCATTAAATAATTGCTAATTATAAAATGTTTTTCAGTTTTTCTTTTGAATACTTTAGTAAAAAGTATAAACACACTTAAGAAATTTAATTGTAATCGAAATAATAAACTAATATATATTATTAATAATTATTAAAAATATATATATATATATTTATTTTATATGAAATAAATAAAAGTCTAACACCTGGGCATGAGCATTTAGAGTGACTTATATAATAGGCTTAAAACTTGATCTGTGTTTATTTACATACACATTTAGTAGAGCTTAATTAATATATGTTTTAGAATAGTCTGCTACGAATTGTGGACATGTTGCGTAGCTAATATGAATTATATATACCCATTTACCTGATCTCTTTGTTTGGGCATACAAATCGCACTAAATATCACGCCCAATTAGCAAATATGTTGCGACTGTTTTTTGAGTTGTTTTTTTTTTAACATTTTTTTTGCTACAGAGGCGTCAGCTTAGTGGGGTGACAACATTTTTTATGGCCTAAACAAACTAGTCTGGTTGTTTGCTGCTGCCCACACGCGCAGCGAGAAAACAATTTAATCATAGACTATGCTCAAAATTTGGTCAGAAAAATAAAAACAGCTGAGAGCTAGAGGGAGATGGAGAGCGAGAGCATTGTGAATGCAAATGGGGATTATGTCATTGCCAAGAAACTGAAAGCCAATAGACCAAAAGGCAGCGGCGGCGACAAGTGCAGGCTGTGGTCAAAACTTGTCTACAGACAGAGGGAGAAAGAGAGCAAGAGAGCGTGAAAGAGATGGCTAGCGAAATGCCAATTACATGACTGCATCAACAGCATCAGCCACAGCAGCCGCAACAGCACCCCAGACATATGTGTACAAGAAGATGGCACGCCCACACATGCACAAAGGCGTAGGCAGGTGGCGAGGGGTGGTTAAACGGCTCTTGGCAACGCTCAAGTGTTGGCCACACTAAATTTGGCAAATTAATGAGTTGGGCCAGCTCTATTTTTGGGGCGCATTTGGCCCGTCTCGATCTCCATTCCGATCTCGTTTTCGTTTGCCGCGTGGGCGTCGTTGTTTTTTTTTTTTTTGGGCTGCAGGTTGCGCCATCAACTTATTTGGTATTTCTCTATCTGTGTGTGTGTGCGTTTTTTTTATGGCAAACAGACATAACAAATTTTATGTTTTGTTTACACATAAGTCAGAGAAATACACGAAATACACGCATTGTTCAGATGTTGAAAGATTTCCGGGCACAGCGCTCCTCACTCAATGAGGAAGTGCAATCGCAGTGGAGTTACTTCGAATTGTGCATATAAAAACAGATGCTGACTCTTCATGTTATGCTCTGTGTTTGTTGTTATTAATGGGGTATGATAAGCTACTATATAGACACATTTTGTAGTAGTTCCATAGTGTTAAAAATACTTTTTCGGGTTTTATTTCTGTGTATTACAAGTAAACCTTTTTCATGCTTTATAAATTGCTAATTTCCATATACCCTGTCAACTTAATACCCTATGTATTTATGTGCAAGATTATCACTCATGCATTCGTCTAAGAAGATTATTCTTTTATATATATATATATATATATATATATATAAATACATTTTTTTTTAATGCTTTAACAATTTTTAATACCCTGTATTCTATAATTACGCCATGCTGCTTAGTGGTTTTAAGGTTTCTCATTAAGTTGTTTATATATTTATTTATATTGCATGCATACAGAAAACATTTTTCGTAATACCCCGTATTTGACCACTTTGAAAGGGTATATCGGCTACCACAATACTGCAACCCAACTCGTATATAATCACATAGAGCTTTCAATATGAAATATTTCTAGATACTTCCAACACTATTTACCTGTTATACCCTGTACTTTCGTTAGTATGCCGGCTACCGTGATTCACAACTGCG